CGGGGCCGGGGGCAGAGACGCCCGCGGCAGCGGCGTGGCCCCGCGCCTTTGAGGCTTTGCCAGAGCAAAGCCTCAGAAGCGCGGCACCCTGCCGCCGCTTCGGCTTTGCTCCCGGTGCCCCTGGTGTGCTGGGGACCGTCTCCAGCAGACCAGGGACACCGGGAGCAAAGCTGGGGAGGCGGAGGGGCGCTGGGGCGCTGCCGGTTGGCCTCTTAAGGGGGGATAGTCTTATACGGCAAGTGTAAGACGAAAACCCATCTTTTAACTAATAAATTAGGGGGTCGTCTTATACGCCCAGTCGCCTTATACGCCGGAAAATACGGTAAGTTTTACTATGTTAGGCATTTCATTAAAAATACAGGGACAAGTCCTGCTCACCTTACTCAAAGTCATAGTCCCCAGTATTTTCACTGAAACTACTTACCAAAGTACAGGTCATATCCTCGTTTTGGCTGTGCATCAGTTTAAGTTCAAAGTAACGTCATATTTTAATTTCACTTAACTGATATTTATGAGATCACTTTTGTATATCCTAACAGCATTCAGAAATATCTTGTTTTAATGTACCAATGATTAGTGAGAAGGAAAACATAGATACTAGAAACAAAAACTACCAACGGCAGACAAAGCTCAAGACAAAAAATACTAAAACCTATTTTATAAAGGAAAACAATGGAAATAATGATCTCCACAACAGCCATTTCCTGGCACTTAATAGCCAGCTGGATTTAGGACTTGCAGCTGATCATTAACTGTTAGTTAACCTCTCTGCCATTTATTGCAAATTATTCCCATAAGAATAAGATCACAATTTTGTTATATCCATACAAAACAGTACACAGTTCTACAAGATGTATATGAAATTCTGCACAATATGTCAATGTTTAAGGTTTTTAAGAAAATCAAGTAATGTAATGAGAACAGTACTTTTGCTATGAAGGATGAGATGGAAAAGAATAATTGCAAAGCTTTTTGTTATGCCACAAAAATATAACTCTCTTCTAGTCTACTATATATATTCAGAGAGTTTGTCTGTTTTATCAAGAACTCCTCCTAAACTATGACTGGGCAAAGTACAGCCCATGAGCCGGATCCGGCCTGCGAAGCCACTGAATCTGTCCCACGGACCACTCTGCGGGGGCCCTTAGGCACACAGCTGCCGTGGGTTTAAAGCGCTCTAGAGGGATGGGGCGGCTCCGTGTGATCTCCTCACCTCCAGCCCAATCCTCAGCTCCTTTTGGCCAGAAACAACCGGCCAATAGGAGCTGAGAGATTGGCCTGGGGGGGATGAGGGCAGCTCAAGCCTCTTCCCGCTCCCAGAGCTGAGAGCCACGTGGAAGGAACAGCCTGCAGCTCTAAGTGATCTGGGGCTGCAGCAGACAGGGAGCCCAACCTGCCTTGGGGGTGCTGTAGGCATGCTGGCTTAGGTAAGCACCTCCCAGCCACAGCTGCCTCTGGCACTCCTGCCCCTCCCGCACTCCAAACTCCCTCCTCCAGGTCACCATCCAAAACCTCTGCATTCCCCTCCCCC